GAGGCGGGCGGATTGTTTGAGCTCAGGAGTTCAAAACCAGCCTGAGCAAGAGCGAGACCCTGTCTCTACTAAAAATAGAAAGAAATTAATTGGGCATTTTCCATATTGAAGCATTTCTTTGCATAGCCTTTGAAAGAGTAAATACATTAGCTCCGAGGTTTGTTTTGTTTTGTTTAAAAAAAACTGATTTGCAGTAGAATGCCCTGGACAATTGCTGTCAGAATGCAGGTTCCTAGGCCCTGACAAAACCTTCTAAGTCAGATTCTCTGGGAGAGAGTTTTCAAAATATGCATTTTAAATTACAGCAGAGGATTCTGAGGTAACAGTTCAAGGTTTGGGACTTTTTACTCTTAGTTCATTATTTTAAATTTGTCTTCCTTTTCTGCAGAACCTTTGCACAACTCCCGTTGTGGCAAGTGATATAAGGCTTGACACTGTGTCTTCTGCCAGTTACTGAAAAACAGGGTTCTCTGATAGCCTAGACAAAAAAGTGTAGTGAACGCCTTCTGTCTGCCTGCATTGTGCTAGGTACTGATGATTACTGGGGAACGGTATGTGCAGAGGTGAAATGGGAAATAAGATACCAGCAGTACTATTAATACTTACGGAAGGCATTTAAAGCTGCACGGTGAAGTAAGACACTTAGAAAGCCATTGCGTTTTAGAACATTGATCTGGCAGTGACTGGAGGGCACCAATAATGAAGGACAGGGAAGTCAATCTGAGAAGAAATGAAGCCTGAAGTGATCAGGGTATGGAACAGGGCGTGGGCAATGAGAGTATCATAGAAGGCCAGAATCCAAGAAGATTTACAAAGGAAGAAAGAACAGATTTTGGCGATAGAATACAGGGGGAAAAGGTGATTTCAAAGTGTCCAATCTAGGAGCCTGGAGAAAATGAGCTGTGACTGATGGAAATGGGAAGGTTGGAAGGAAAAGCAGTTTAGTGGCGAACAGGGTGCATGATATGTTGTGGACACTGAATTTGAGGCAAGAATAGAACACTCAAATGGAGCAGTTGGAAATCTGGGACTAGCTCTGAGGTGAGAGGTCAGAACTAGGAATCCCCAGCATAGAAATTATAGCTGAGGGTTGGGAGTGATAAACTGGAGGTGAGTGGATGAGGGAGTCAGAGAAGAATGTGAGTGTGACCCCCCTGGGAAGAGAGAGAAAGGAGAGGAACAAGCCAAGCAAACAAGGAAGGAGCAGGCAGAGGGACCAGGGGGAACCATGGAATGAATTCAGCAGATAGGCATTTTCAAGAAGCATAAAGCTTCCAGTCCTGGACTCAGAACACCTTCTCTTATACAGAAGAGGAAACAGGACTCTAATAGTTTCTGTAGCTACTGACAGTGCCAATATTCATCAAAAAGGAACAGTCTTTTCTTCCTAGTATATGAAATGAGCCACATTGTAAAATAGGGCTTTAAAAAAAGCTATCTTGTCTTATTGCAAATATTCCTTTTCATGGACATCTCTTTCAGTCATTAAAAAACATTCTGCCCTTGTTTCTTGAATACCTTGTTAAAAATAATATGGAAGGTTGTCTCATTTTATCTCGTAGGCACAGCAGCCTGGGAAATATTCTTCAATGTAAAAACATCTACAGAGAAGGTCAGCACATTGGTTGTTCCTTTGATCTGACTAAAGTGAAGGATTCCAGTTTTGAACAACACAGTGTCCAAATAATGGTCAAGGATAATGCAGGAAAAATTAGACCATCCTTCAATATAGTGCCTTTAACTTCTCGTGGTAAGTTTTAGAAGTCTACTATGACAGTGTGGGTAAAAAGTGTTCTTTTGAACCATCAGTACAAATAATAATGATGATTTGGGTCTTAAGATCTTCTAAAAACAAGGGAATATATTTATGTATACCTTTCTTTGATAGATCCTTTTTAAAGAAGCAAGCTTGGAAATGCTAATATTTATCGAGCACATGTGCCAAGTGCTTTATCCTTATCCTGTGTACTTAGGAGTATTCTGAGACTTAGAGCACTTAGTTGTAGAACCAAGATTGGAATTGTATTTGTCTGTTTTCTGTTGCTTATAACAGAATCCCTGATACTGGGTAATTTATGAAGAAAAGGAGGACAGGCACGATGGCACACACCTATAGTCCTAGCTACTCAGGAGGCTGAGGTGGGAGGATCCTGTGAGCCCAAGAGTTTGAGGTTCCAGACTGGGTGACAGAGCAAGACCTTATCTTTAAAAAAAGAGAGAAAGAAAAGGGACGAAATTTATTTCTCACAGTTCTAAAGGCTGGGAAGTCCAAGGTCAAGGGGCCAAGTCTGGTGAGGGCCTTCTTGTTGGTGGGAACTTTCTGGAGAGTCCCAAGGGGGTACAAGGCATCCCATGGTGAGAGGACTGAGCATGCTAGCTTAGGTCTCTCTTCCTCTTATAAATCCACCAGTCCCACTCCCATGATAAACCATTAATCCATTAACCCATAAACTATGAATGGATTAATCCATTCATGAAGGCAAAACTCCAGTCTCCTCTTAGTGGCCCCACCTCTCAGTTCTGCCACATTGGGGATTAAGTTTCAACATGAGTTTTGGAAGGGACAAACATTCAAACCACAGCAGGAAGATAGGCTGTCTGACTCTAAGATCTATTCTCTTTTCACTTATGATACTTGAGAGGATAATGCTCATATGATCATATATAGTTTCTGAATAACTCTTACTTAGAAAAAGCTTAGATTGAAGGTAGTATAATCAGAGGTGATATTCAAAATATTTAACACTATATGATATGGGCACTGATCAGTCTTAACAACCAGTGTAGCCATATCTGGGTATACCAGCTGCATGTTGGCCTGTTTAGAAAGAACCTTCAACTTGAACACAAAATATCTGATTGAGGTTCTAATTTCTCCACTTTGGACAAGGCATGTAAACCGTCTTCAGGTATTTCTTTATCTGTAAAATGGAATATATAATCCCTCTTGACCTCAAAAAATTGTCATAAGGTCTAAATGATATAATGTATATAAAACTGTTTTGTATATCTCTAAAGCAAAGTGGTTTATTTGTTGTAATTCCCAACAGGAGCTCAGATTCTGGCTAAGTGGCATACAGATAATTTATGGGAAAATAGCCATAAATTGACAAAGGCTCCCGAGTCTGTGAGCAGAACACTATTTACCACCCCTTCAGGTAGTCATGGAAGTGAATTCTAATAGTGGACCAAAGGCAGCTTAGTTTGTAGGCCAAGGGAGTGAGGTTGGGGTAATTTGCCAAGTGAGGTAGACTGAAGCAAAGTTCTTCTCTTTGCTCCCCCCGTTTGGCAGGTTAGATGACCTTTTAAGGCTTATTTTGCTGCTCTTCTCCCTGGATATTAACGGTGACATAAAGGCAGAAGGAAGATCCTTCTTAAATAGAAGATGACATCTTCAAGTTGTTTTCTGTTAATTATCCGTTATCTTCTGTTGCTTGCTCTTAGTATAGCTGATTCCTGAAAAAACAAATTGACCAGGCTAATGTTTTTTATAAAAAAATTTTATTTTACTCTTAATTATGCTTATATTCATGTAACATTAAATTTATCATCAGAAACATTTTAAGTGTCTATACAGTTCAGTAGTGTTAAGTATATTCACTTTGTTGTGCAACAGATCTCTAGAACTTTTTCATTCTACAAAACTGAAACTCTATGGGCAGTAAACATTAATTCTCCTTCCCTTGGCAACTACCTTTCTACTTTTTGGTTCTATGAATCTGACTACTTTAGATACCTCATATGAGTGGAATTATACAGTATTTGTCTTTTTGTAACTAGTTTATATGACTTCACATAATGTCCTCAAGGTGCATTTGCATTGTAACATGAATTGTGATCTTTGATTGGCACATGTGAATATCAGCTAGGGAAGCCCCTTGTACCTGGTGTCTTGTTACTCATCAGGTAGAAGCACATCTGGACCCAGGCACCACTTTATTCTCTATATTGTAGCTAGATATTCTGATTATACCCTGGTCATTTTCTAACCAGATGCAGGTCAGAGTTCATGTCATCTGCCAGATACCCCAAAGATGTTCCTTAAATCTATTTTACTAGGCAGTTTTAAATAAACTTCTTCTACTAATTATGCCTAGTCAGAAATTCTAAAACTATATATCTAATCATATAAGGCCGTTAAAAGCATCAGCCCTATTTTGATTTAACTTTGTGAACCTTCATTATCCCTACATATATAGAGAGAGTCATCCTTCAGTATCCATGGGGGCTTGGTTCCAGGAACCCCAAGGCTACCAAAATCGGCAGATACTCAAGTCCCTGATGTAAAATGGCATAGTATTTACATATATCCTATGTACATCTTCCCATATACTTTAAATCATCTCCAGATTACTTATAATACTTAACACAACATAAATACTAGGTAAATAGTTGTTATACTGTATTGTTTAGGAAATAATGACAAAGAAAAAAATCTTTACATGTTCCAACCATCCATTTATTTTTCTGAATATTTTTGACTCACAATTGGTTGAATCCATGGATACGGAACCCACAGATAGGGAGGGCAGACTGTGTGTGTGTGTGTGAGAGAGAGAGAGAGAGAGAGAGAGAGAGAGAGTGTTTGTGTGTGTAATCAAATAAACTTTGGAAGCTAATTTGTTGTGTTCCATTTCTATCTTTCAGTGAAACCTGATCCTCCACATATTAAAAGTCTCTTCTTCCAAAATGGTGGCTTATACGTGCAATGGGAGAATCCACCGAATTTTATTAGCAGATGCTTATCTTATGAAGTAGAAGTGAATAACAGCCAAACTGAGACACATGTTTTCTCTGTAAGGATTTTTAGATTGTTGTTTTTATTTGGATGTTTTTCTTTTACTTGAACTTCTTCCATTGAAATATCAATGAAATGTAGCTATTACATTTATCACCTTATGATGATGATGATAATGAAACTTCTTGTCTGAAATAGGGCATGGTGGAAGATTTGAGGGTTTATGGTAGTATTGCCTGCAAAGTTCAAGCCATTCATTAATTCATTTGCTCAACACATTTTTATTAAGCATCTTCCATGTGCCAACCACTGTTTTATGTGTTGGGGATAAAGCAGTAAACATGACACCTGATGAACAATTTTTTTCCTTCATAAAGCTTATATAATAGAACATAAGTATGTAAATGAACAAGCTAATTTCAGAGCATGAGTGCTATGAAGAAAATAAAATGAAGTGATGTAGTAGAGTGGTTGGGAGGGCCCGAATGATATTTGACATGAGACCAGATTGATGAGCAGAAGCTAGCCACGTGAAGATCTGGGGGTAGAGGAGACAACAAATATAAAGATTCTGAGTCAAGAATGAGCTTCGCATGCGTGAAAAAACAGAAAGAAGGCTGATGTGGCCAAAATATAGTAGGAAAAGATGTCTTAAACACAGTAGGCAGAGATCAGATCGTGCAGACACTTGGAGGCTCTGATAAGGCCATTCAATTTTCTTGGACTTGGTGGCAACTAAAGTATTAAAATTTGAGTAGTTAGTATTTGTTGGATTATGTACATTTATGCTATTCAGAATCTAATGCAAAGCATGCTGATTAGAGGTCCTATGGGACATTGACCAGAATGTGGTATAACCTCAGGGCATCAGCCCCATCGTTCCACTTTAGAGTAGAGGTCACAAACTAGGGCCTCATACATTTTCGTTTGGACCACAAAGTGGAATTCTGTTTCTTTGTTTATCAGGTTTGAATTTTTTTGCCTAAATTTAAAATCATGGTACCTTAAGAATGTCCATGAGGTGGCGCCTCAAGACCACGAGGACTGCACCACTCACTTGTTTGCTACCTGTCTGGTCCCTTTATACATTTGTGTGTTAGAGGTTAGATAGAAGCTAAGTGTTTTATATTGGCTTTTAAAGGAGCCTAACATCTTGCATGTGAGCAAATTCCTTGGTTGAGTTGTTTTAGCTCATCATGGAACTTTCAAAATGCTGACTAAATTAAGCCACTGTTGACAGGGTATAACTCCAGAGGGAGTGACCAGGTCCACAGCAGAACAGAGCTCTTCTGGGCATTTATAGATGAATCTGTCTGCTGAAATATAATAATCATTATTAGTGCCAGAAATTACAGTGTCCCCATGAAATAACTGCAAAGGGAAAAAACAAAGGGCATTCACATGGAGGGGAGCTGGTGCTTGAATTTTCAACAAAGTGAATTATCAGAAAGCTGAAATATACTTGATTACTTCAGCCTTTATTGTTCTCTCCTGTCTGAAATCCTGAGACACACGCTATTTACATTACTCACTTTGCCACTCAGTTATGCCCTGCTGTTTAACTTGATCATGTGTGTGCCTTTTCTCTCCACTGAAAATATAAACTCCTGTAGGAGGAGTCAGGTGGTATCTACTTTGTACTGTTCCTACTAGTAATAGCAGATAACATGTATTGAGTGATTACTATGTACTAGGTATTTTAATAAGCACTATATCTGAATTGTCTCATTTAGTCCTCACAGTAACCTGAAGGATCTAGGCCCTGTTATTTTGTCTCTACTTTACAGATGAAAAAACTTAGTTACTCCTAAGGTGACGTTTCTAGTAAGTGGTAGAATCAAGATTTAAACAAAGTTCTAACTCCAAACTTGTATTTGTAACTGGTGGAGACCACCTCAATATTTAATAGCAATAACCATCATTTACTAGGTGTTTATGAGTGTTACAAAGATATTCCTCTGTGTGCTTCTTATATAGTAGTAGCTCATGAGAATCCATGAAATAGATACTAATTTAATCTACATTTTATTGAGAAACTAAGGCTCAGAGAGGTTAAGTAACTTTCTACAGGCCAAAATAGTTGTATGACTTTGAAGTCAATATGACTTCAAAGGTTTATTGGTCATTAAACTTCATTAAACTTTGGGAATACTTAGTATAACACCAGGTACATAATCATCACTTAATAAGTTCTTGTTGAATGGAGTTACTTTTTTTTAAAAACAAACTTCTGAACTGAAGAGAACACATATACTATGGAAGTTATCTACCTAAGTCAGAACTGTAGTCTATTTGAAATTAACTCTGTTTGTACACTTGAGTTTAATGTTTGCTCTCCTAGCAGATGTTCACTAACTGCTTCCTCTCCTAGAATGTCATCAGCTTTGTGTGTGCTCACTGATTTTGAGTTCTGCTGGTTAGACCTTTTTTTCCCCTTTTTGCAAGATAATTCAGAGAATTATTTTGCCTGGTGTTAAGAGGAGTTAAGAATGGGAAGTAGGCTGGAACATGAACCAGTACCATCACATGGGGGCTGTGGTTAGAGGTAGCTCATGACAGAATCATTAAATAAGAAACAACTTGTTTTTGACCATGCCCCCATCCCTGCAAACTATCTACTTGGTGCTCTGTGCCCTTGTTTTCCTTCTCTCAGAGGTGCCTGAGTAGTGATATACTATGCAAGAGGATTTACATTTGAACAAGAGCCTAGAGACATAAATCTACACATTGATTTGCTGACTTTGGAATTTATATATGGGAGATGATCTGGGGGGGGCGACATCAGTTTGCAACTTGATCCCTCAAGTGGTAGTTGCCTCTTGTGATTCTCCAGCAGGCCTCTGATTCCAAATGGCCAGCAATAGAGTACAGTAGCCCCCTGAGTGGCTTTTGCTCTACTGCTGTATGAAATATTGAAAGAATGGCCCTTCATCATTTGGTTGGCCTTTCAGCTCTTCATAAATTCTAGTGGGAACCATGTAGTCTAAATCCCATAGATTAATTTTGTTGCTACTTCTAAAGCCTTCTATAAACAGAATTATACAGAATGAACGTTTTTGTGTGTCTGCCTTCTTTCACTCAACATTGTGTTTATGATGATGCCACGGCACTCTAGGCCGGGCAACAGAGCGATATTCTGTCTCGAAAAAAAAAAAAGAAGTTGCAAATATGTTCTCACATTCTACATATTGCCTATTTGTTTATTTCCCCATTAGGGTGTCATTTGATGAACAGAAGTTTTAATTTTTTTTTTTTGAGACACAGTATCTCTCTGTTGCCGGGGCTAGAGTGTCGTGGTGTCAGCCTAGCTCACTGCAACCTCAAACTCCTGGGCTCAAGCAGTCCTCCTGCCTCAGCCTCCCGAGTAGCTGGGACTACAGGCATGCGCCACCACGCCCGGCTATTTTTTTCTATATATTTTTAGTTTTCCAGCTAATTTCTTTCTATTTTTGGTAGAGACGGGGGTCTCGTTCTTGCTGAGGCTGGTCTCCAACTCCTGACCTTGAGCGATCCTCCCACCTTGGCCTCCCAGAGTGCTAGGATTGCAGGCGTGAGCCACCGTGCCTGGCCAAATTTTAATATAGATGACTTTATAGAAATTTTTCCTTTATGGTTAATGTGGGTTTTTAAAATCTTGTTTAAGAAATACCTTCCTTCTTCAAAATCATAAAGATGTTCTCCTACATTTTCCTCTGAAAGCTTGCTGTATTTATGTATTTGTTCACTTACTTTATCTTTTACATTTATCTACAATATATCTGGAATTGATTTTACAAATAATGTGAGGAAGGAGTCAAGATTCTTTTTTTCCCATGTGGATATGGAATTGACCCGGCACCACTTATTAAAAAGGCCAACGCTTTTTCACTGTACCTGGTCCTCTTTTAACGGGGTAAAAGGAAAGTTTGTTAGAAACGGCTAAATGATATAAAATGTGTTTTTTAAAAATTTGGGACTTGTTCATTTTGTTTTTTATTTTCCAGGTTGAAGAGGCTAGATGTCAGAACTTAGAATTTGAGAGAAACGAGGAGGTCAGTAAATTCAACGTTAGCTATTTTGACTTACTCGAAGTCATTGGGGGTGGGGCAGGGCAAGCATAGTGTAAATTTGAGCTGCTTTGAGAAAAACAAACTACTTTGCCAACTGTTTTTCAGGAGTCAAAGTCAGATAATTTGAATTGCAGTCCAAGTCTTAATCATATACAGAATTTGGCAGATAATTATATTATGATTTAATAGCAAAGAGAGAGAATAAACTGATAATATTCCGTGTGTGTTTTTATTTCATATCTAAGGATACGATTTGTTTCATGGTCCCTGGTGTTCTTCCTGATACTTTCAACACAGTCAGAATAAGAGTCAAAACAAATAAGTTATGCTATGAGGATGACAAACTCTGGAGTAATTGGAGTCAAGCGATGAGTATAGGTAAGAGAACAGGATTTCATTAAAATTTAAAACATTGCTTCATGGGAACTAAGCTAAAGCAGAAAATGGACTGGGGAAAGGGATTGTCATGCTTTCTTGATGTCAGCCAGAGAGTATTTACAGTTAAAATTTATTTTTTTTTGAATCACTGTCAAATCACCCAGGGTTAATTTACAATATACAGCTTGGGGAAACCACAATCCAAATGGTGTTATCCTCTCCTCTGTCCCATCTCTACTTTTATATTAACAACACGAACAAAAATATAGAAGGCAGGCATAATCGAATCTGCAGATTGTACAATGCTAGAGGACTGTCCTATGTGCTGATTGATAGAATCAGGAGTGGATCAATGACTTTGATGGCATTTAATAGAGATAAACCTGTATCTAGGTTTGAAAAAAACATCATTTATTAATTGAAAGGCTGAACAAAGCAGGCTCAAGTACAAGATTCTAAAGACCTACACTTTATGGATGTGTGTATTGTGGGGTGGGGTATAGGGCTTTATTTGATTTTAAGCTCAATGTGACTCCACATAGGAACCTTAAATATCCCTAAAAGACATATGCAGTCTTAAGTAGCAGTGATAGTGCTACACCCAGAACGAGAGAATGCTGCCGGGAAGCTGGGGTTGGGGGGGGGCGGGGGGTATGGTAGTCTGGCGACATTAGAAGTGTGCAATAATTCCATTCTGAGCACCACATTGAAGTAGATGCATTGGGAGAATGGAATCCGTCCTTGAAAGGATAGTCAGGATGTTGAAGAATCTCGAAACTTGGTGAGGAACAATTGATGAAGTAACATGGAGGAGTCATGATTGCTGAATTCTAATATTTGAGGTATTGTCAAGTAGAAGAGGGAATAGGCTTTCCTTTTTGTGGCTCCAGGGGACAATATATAGAACCAACTTGAAAACTTTTTAAACAGCTGTCTAAAGAGTCAGAGAGACAGGTTGTTGAGGTCATTAATTTCCTATTAATTGAGAGGCTGAACCAGTTACGTACCAGGCATGGCTGTATTAATTTATTTATTGTTGTATAACAAGTTACTCCAAAGTTAAGCAGTTTAAACCAACACACATTTACCATCTCATGGTGTCTGTGGGTCAGGAATCTAGCCACAGCCTTGCTAGAGGTCTCATAAGGTTGTAGTCAAGCTGCAACTAGGACTGTACTCTCATTTGAAGACTTGTCTGGGGCTATAGAATCCACTTCCAAGCTCACTCATGTAGTTGTTGGAAAACTTATTTCCTCACTGGTTGCTGGATAGAGGCTGTGGCGGATTGAATCGTGTCTACCAAAAAGATATGTTGCAAGTCCTAACCTTCAATACCCGTGAATGTGATCTTATTTGGAAATAGGAGTTTTGCAGATATAATCAAGTTAAGGTGAGGTCATACTGGCTTAGAGTGGACCCTCAATCTAATGACTAGTATCCTTAGAAGAAGAGGAGAGGATACACAGAGACACAGAGTGACACACAAACACATGGGGAAGAAGCCATGTGAAGACAGAGGCAGAGACTGGAGTGATGCAGCTACAACCAAGAAAAACTCATGGGAGCCAGCAGAAGCTAGGAAGAGGCAAGGAGGGATTCTTCTCTAGAGCCTTCAGAGGGAGCATGGCCCTGACAACACCCTGATTTTGGACTTCTAGCCTCCAGAACCATGAGAGAATAAACTTCTCTTGTTTTAAGCCACCCAATCTGTGGTAAATTGTTACAACAGCCCTAGGAAACTAGGACGGAGGCCTCCCTTAGTTCCTTGCCACTTGGACTGCTACACAGGGCTACCTCGTGACATGGGAGCTGGCTTCCCCAAATGAGTGATCCGAGCAAGAAAGAGTGTATGATAGAACACCCAATAGGGAAAAAGGTTTTTTATAAAACCATTTTTATAACCTAACCTTGGAAATGATATCCCATTACTGCAGCTGTTCTGTTATTTAGAAATAAGTCCATTAGTCCAGCCTACACTCAAGGGGAGGAGATTGCACAAGGCTGTGAATATCAGGAGGCAGGAATCATTTGGGGTCATCTTAGTGGCTGCTTAAAACCATGGTACTAGGCCCTGATGATGCTTTCTAGATGTTCATGCCCTAGTGGGAAAAATGAATGTATAAATAGACAAATGACATTCTATGTGTTAGGTATAGCAAAACAGGCTTTGGAATTGGACGGTGCTGTATTTGAGGCCTGACTCTATCATTTACTAAAAACACTTCTAGATGATTTATTAAACCTCTCTGAGCTTTATCCTTCTCATCTGTATAAATGGGAGATAATACTGTCTATAGCATAGATGTAAGTATATAAAAGCACTTCATATAGTATCAGATATATAGTAGGTGCTCATTTAAGAAGAATAATAGTGGTGGTTATTGTTAGGATTTTTTAGGTATTTAATAGTAGTAAGTAACCATTAAGAAAAGATAGTCACTGTTAATGAGATGAGACATTTACTAACTATAACATCATTGTTAATAGTATCTAAAACTAATTAAAGAAATCCTGATTTCAGATAATCTTTAAAGTGTTCACTCATTCAGGGAATTTCAGGCACCAGAACAGGATTTTTTTTTTTTTTTTTAGCTATTAAGATAAGAGAAGATAAGATGTATGAAGAGTTTTTGGAAAATAGATTGGGGTTGGGAGGAGAAATATTTGTGATCTCACTAGCTAATGGAATTGTTGCTTAGTTTATTACTAAAAGGGTTTTATTTCTCATGCCTTTGTTTGTTTTCCATTCGCCAGGTGAGAAGCCCAATCCCACATTCTATATAACCATGCTACTCATCATTCCAGTCATTGTTGCAGGTGCAATCATAGTCCTTCTGCTTTATCTAAAAAGGTAAGGCCGCTGCCCAGGCGGGTTTTACAGTTTCTGCTAGGCTGGTTGCTGTGGTTACTACTCTTTGTGCTGGTGTTTTATGTTTGCCCTATGTATTAGAAGCATTTTGGCCATTAATGGCTTTTGGTAGCATGACATAGCAAAGAAGTATTATTTTGCCCATTTTCCAGTGAGGAAAGTATTGGATTGGTTTCCTAGGGCTCTGCTCAAGCATTGCTCCTTTTGCATGGGTTTAGGATTGTCGAATAGGCCCTATGTTCACTATACTCTTTCAAATGCCTAATTTATCAACAGTTTTGTAACTATTGGAATGAAGTTTTAGAAATGGAGACCATTACTAATGAAATGACTTGTCTGGTATTAATGCAAAGCAGACTGCTACCTAATGCTGTAGGGAAGAGAACTTCACCAAATATGGTACTTACTTATTCCTTGAGGATGTTTTATTTTCTCTGTCTCACTATAGGGACTGTTACTTGCTCTTGCAGTAAATACCTAAGGTTGGAATAATGTTATTAAACTGGGTTCATAACTGACATTTTATCATTATTTCAACATTGATTCAGCATACATATATTGAGTGTCTATTTATGTGCTAGGCACTGTCTAAGTACTGGGGTTATAGCAGTGAACAGAACAAAGTCCCTGTCTACATTCTAGTAGGGGATACACACACACACACACACACACACACACACACACAGACACACACACACAGAGTGAGAAGTTGGTGGGAGAGGGATGGGAAGTGATAGGATGCGCATTTTACATAGGACGGCTGGGGGACACCTCTCTGAGAAAGTGACATTTGAGGAGAAACTCAAACAAAGTAAAGGAATGAGCCATTCAGATATTCAAGGAAAGAGCACTCCAGGCTGGAAGACCAGCAAGTGCAAAGGCCTCAGGCTGGAATGAACTTGGTGTGTCTGGCTGGACTAGAGTGTGCAAGGGGGAGGAGGGTGGCAGGAGGTGAGGCCAGAGAGGTTGGCCAAGCAGATCACACAGGTCATGGCAAGGAACTGAGATTTTGTTCTAAGCATGATAGGGGAACATCGGAGAGTTTTAAGCCAGGGAGGGATGTGATCTGATTTACTGTCATAAAAGGTCATTGTAGTTGCTCAGTGAAGAACTGAGATGGGCAAGAATGGAAGTAGATTAGTTAGGAAGCATTGTAGTGTTTTGGAAGAAAGATGAGAGTAGCTTCTACTTGGGAGTGAGCAATGGAGGTAGTAAGAAGTAGTCAAATTTGGGATATATATATATATTTTTTTGAGACAGAGTCTCGCTTTGTTGCCCGGGCTAGAGTGAGTGCCGTGGCGTCAGCCTAGCTCACAGCAACCTCAAACTCCTGGGCTCAAGCAATCCTTCTGCCTCAGCCTCCCAAGTAGCTGGGACTACAGGCATGCGCCACCATGCCCGGCTAATTTTTCTATATATTTTTGGTTGTCCAGATCATTTCTTTCTATTTTTTAGTAGAGACGGGGTCTCGCTCAGGCTGGTCTCGAACTCCTGACCTTGAGCGATCCTCCCGCCTCGACCTCCCAGAGTGCTAGGATTACAGGCATGAGCCACCGCGCCCGGCCTGGGATATATTTTAAAAGTAGGATTGAAAAGACTTACTGATAACTGCTTTTCTGTGGAGTTATGAGAGAAATTGAGGATTCAGTGATACCTCTTAGACTTTAGGCTTGAGCTACTGAGTGAATGCCCATGCCATTTACTGAGACAGAGAAGATTGTGAGGAAAGCTGGGTCTAAAGGAAAGGTGAAGACTTCAGTTTTACATGATAAGTTTGAGATTCCTATTAGATATCCAAGTAGAGATGTTAAATTGGCAATTGTGTACACAAATCTGGAGTTTAAGGGAGAGGTCTGGGCTAGAGATCTAATTTTGGGAGTCCCAGCCATGTAAGTGGATTTAAAGCCCTAAGACCGGAAGAGAGTGCTCATAAAGCATGTGAGATAGAGACGAGGACAAGACCAAAGCCTGGGGTACCCTGGGTGATGAGGCAGACCCACCAAAGAGTGCTATAAGATTCAAAAATAGGAGAGAAGTAAGAAGAGAAAAGACAAATTAAAGAGAAATATACCTTGTTCTCAGAACTTTTTTCAAAATTATACACAGCAAGTGCCCATCTGGTGTATTAAAAGTATAACACTATTATTTACATGATAGGATATAAGTAATTTGGTTATCCTGATGGCCCCTTTGCTCTACCCAAACTTAATACATTTAGAACATTGATTTTTTCCCCTAGCCTATTTTAGAAATTTCTTCACAACTGCTTTGTCACTGAAGATGACTTGTGTGTCATGTCTTTTGTCTATACCTTCCTTTAAAATGGTTGTATTTAAATGGGATGCTCCAATGGACTGGAAGATTAGAACCAGAATGTCTCTGTTTTCTTAAAGGCTCAAGATCATTATATTCCCTCCAATTCCTGATCCTGGCAAGATTTTTAAAGAAATGTTTGGAGACCAGAATGATGATACCTTGGTAAGCACTAACTTCATAGAGTTTGAAATTGGTTATTTTTTTGGAGGCTATGTGATTTTAAAAAATTGTGGTAAAATATAAATAACATAAAATTTACCATCTTAACCATTTTAAGTGTACAGTTCAGTGACATTAAGTACATTTATAATGTTTTGCAACCATCACCACTATTTCCAAAACTTTTTCATCATCCCAAATAGAAACTATGCCTATTAAACAATAACTCCCCATTACCCCTCCCCACCCCTGATAAGCCTCTATTTTACTTTCTGTCTCTATGAATTTGCCTATTCTAGGTACTTCATGTATGTGGAATCATACATGGTTTGTCCTTTTGTGCCTGGCTGACTTCACTTAGCATAATTTTTTTAAGGCTCATCTATGTTGTAGCATGTATCAGAATTTCATTTTGAAATTGGTTCTTTTAAACTAAATTTATCTAAAAGATTAAAGAAGAGCTAATTTTAAATATTGCATCTCAGGCCAAATATACTAGCTAAGAAGTCCCCAGAATTCTTTGCCCATCTTATATCCCTGGGCTTCATTCTCCCTCTGGTTTAGGGGACATGTTTTATCAAAACACGTGTGTGGGTGGATAAGCCTCCTATATGAAGCTAGCCTAATAGGCAGGCTTTCTGACTCCTGGATAATTTTTTAAACCTAATGTGGAGAAATATGAAGGTAGGGTAAGCGACTTGAATGCATTTTGTTAATGCTATTGCTTGGCAAGCTGGACTCCAAAGACGTGGAAGTAGAGCAGACCTACTCCAACTGTTATAGTTGGTTTCCTGCAGATGCTCATGCTAGAATTTGTGGCTAGAAAACCTAAGACATTATGAAAACAAAAGGGTTTGATGTTTCTGTGATAAATACATTTACCCTAATGAAATAATAAAGACACTAAATGAAATAAATATCAATATCATTGTATATCTCTTAAATTAGTAATATCAGGCATAAGGCAGTTAATTTAGGGAAGTGGTACAGCATAGTAGGTAATAGCCTGAGCTCTGGAGTCAGATTGTCTGGATTCGAATCTCTGCTATGTCATTTACCATCTTTTTGACATTGGATAACTTCCTTAGTCTCGGTGTGACTCAGTTTTGCCATTTGTAAAGTGGAGATAAAAATAGCACCTGCCTCATAGTGTTATATATATTAAATTTTAACACACAATAATTAACAGAAATCACTTAGCATGCCTGGCATATTGTATAAGTGCTTAATAAGTGTTAGCAATTCGTGTTACTATTGCTAACAATGTCTTTTTATGTTTAATCCCCAAATAATTCTTGTAATACTGGGTGATTCACAATGGCACTGATGATACTTGGTTAGGGAAGGAAGGCAAGGAAACTGATATGCTATCAGAGGAGGATTATTCTGGATCACTTTTTCACCAAGTTATCTTCATAGGGAAGGGGTAACTCTGCCAGGCCCTGGGGGACAGGGCACCACTAGGCAGGTAGGTCTACAAGTCAGGTGCCTGAGGGGGAGATTGTACCCCTCAGGTACAGTCTGTGGTGAGTTTGGCAGCCAGTGGTTCTTCAGCTTTAGTTGAGTCACAATCAACTGGCATGCTTGTAAGAAATATAGATTTCTGGGCCCTACCTGCAGAAATTCTGATTAGGGATATCTGGGACAAGTTCCAGGAATCTGCATATTTAACAGGATCCCACAGATGATTCCTATCCTGGTGAGATAGTCTGTGGGCCACACTTTGAGAATCACTGATATGGATAGTTTCCTTAGAATTATCCCTGTCTGTTTCTTCATTTCACCACCTGTGATAGATGCTGGAGGTTGGGAATTGTGCAAGTACTCAAACAACCCTAAGCTGTTATTGAAAGTTTACTATGTGCCAGGCAGTGTATTAAGTGCTTTGCTTATCTTACCTTATCGAATCCTCATAACCACCCTATCGAGTAGGTGCTTATTAGTACCATTTTGCAGATGAGGAAATGGAGCCTCAGTGAGGTTAAGTAACTTAGCTTCAGTTACACAACTAGTTTGTGATAAGGTAGGATTTGACCCAGGACTATCTGATGCGAGAGTTCTCTTGCTCTTTTTACTATGCTGCATTGCTTCTTGTACTATAGAATGCTTGTTGTCAGGAACTTCATCATCTTCTAAGAGGTCTGATGACAGCAGTAGAGAGTTGGGATAGGGTATTTCTCAGAAAAAGATTTGGGGTCACATTATGACTAGCTTTAAATGGGAAGGTATTAGGAATATCAGTCCGATAATCTGGAGAGAATGGATTAGAGAGGGGAGGCACTAGCATGGTAGCAAACTGGAAACCTAGATCTGAATTTGCCCCATTAAATTGTTTTGTTTGGCCAGTGGGGTATAATTAAAATCTTTCAATTTAGAATCTTAGGCAGGGCATGTACTCTCCGATTCATCTCAGGCCCTGACATTCCCAGTTCCCGCTGTGGTTTCGCACATTGACTTAAATTCCAGACCCTTGAAAGGCATTTGAGTTTGCTTCCCCTCTTAGCAGCATAGAGACTAGTTAAAATACCATGGCATAAATGTCCATTATCTGTGTAAACATGTTTGGACTCACTAATATATACCAGATATGCCAACCAAAACATTGATGAGATAGAAATTTCCAACCTAATAGATTTATAAAAAGTGATAATTATCCAGGGTTTAACAAGTGAGTGGGGACCTGGCACTTTTCATGCACTGCTGGTGGGGCCTGTAAAATGATACATATTCTTTCTGGAGGACAACGAGGTAAAATATAGCAAGAAATCTTTGAACCTGTAATTATACTTTTAGGTATCGATTTTAAGGAAATAATCCAACAATGGCACAAGAATGATCAATGCAGCATTTGTTTCTAGCATGAAAAATTGGAGACCAATGAAACATCAATAATCAAGAATTAGTTTAGAAAAGTTAGATTTTCAAAGTATTTCATAACAAAATACTCATAAGAGTAAGAAACAGATCATAAATGTGTAGTATATTACAATCCCAATTTTTATAAAAATGCATTAACATACACATAGAGCAATGGAAAGAAATGGGTCAGAATCAATGATCATTTTAGGCAGAGGGATTGTGGGTAACTGGTATTATTTTCCATCTACCTTTCTGAAATTTCCAAGTTGCCTATAATGAGCATATATTACTTTTATAATAAAAGAAACCCTGTACAAGTCATTAAGGGAAAAAGAGAATATTGTAGTCATCCAGGTCTGAGAGATAATAAAGACTTGAACTTAGATGGTAGCAGAGGAGATTGACGTAAGAGATGTTATTAACGGAAACTAACTCATTATGACTTGGTGACTCTGTGTGGGTGATGAAAGGTGGAGAGAGTAAAAAATAATTTCAAGTTTTCAAGTCTGGGTGATAGAGTGAATGATGGGAACGTTGACAGCAAAATCAGATCAATTATCTTTCTCAGAGATGGGAAAATTGCTTTTTTTCAATTTGCTGTCTAGAGGATAATGTGTTGTTTTCATCCCAATGAGTCAGATAATTCTGTAATTTGGTGAGGCAGATATACTGACAGGATGGACCACTAAAAGCATAAGGTGTTTTCGTTTTGGTAGTTGCAGACCATTAAACAAAATCGGTTTTTTAAAACTAAAAGTATAATAAAAATGCCAGATAGGAGAAAGGGTAAGAGAACAAATTTTTATGTCTGCTTTTAACCAAATGGATTATCAGCTTTCTTTACACGGCCACCATTCTCACAAATTGAATTGCATATGCAGCAGAAAAACTAACCTTTTACTTCTAGAATCAGCAAATTATAGAGCAAGCCCACCCTTAGAGGTCATCTAATGAGGTGGATGTTTACATATTTAATTATTTCCCTTTAATTATACATTTTTTTTTTTGAGACAGAGTCTCGCTCTTTTGCCTGGGCTAGAGTGAGTGCTGTGGCGTCGGCCTAGCTCACAGCAACCTCACACTCCTGGGCTCAAGCAATCCTCCTGCCTCAGCCTCCCGAGTAGCTGGGACTACAGGCATGCGCCACCATGCCCGGCTAATTTTTCTATATATTTTTAGTTGTCCGATTAATTTCTTTCTATTTTTAGTAGAGACGGGGTCTCGCTCTTGCTCAGGCTGGTTTCGAACTCCTGAGCTCAAACAATCCGCCCGCCTCGGCCTCCCAGAGTGCTAGGATTACAGGCGTGAGCCACTGCGCCCGACCTAATTATAGATTTTAAAAACTCTAGAATCTCATCCAAGTCCTTCACTTTAGAGGTGAGGACAATAGTGGGCACAGGGAAGTTTCTCAAGGACTGTTACATAGAGAGGTAACTACAAAACCTACACTAGAACCCATAGAGCCCAAAGTTATCAACTTCTAATCCAAAGAGTTAATCCATGTCATTTTAAAACATTCTCCTCTTCCACACTGCACCATTAATAGTGTTTTTTTTCAATTATTTAGGTGTGGCCACAAATAAGTTAAATCTTCAGTATAGTTTTTCTTAAGGTTTCCAGTGTTTTGATGATGTTTTGTTCATCACTGTAGTAACGTTTTGGCCAACTGAATTTTTTTTTCCTTTTGCTTTGCTATTTGCCTTTGCCTTGTGACTAGTTGGGCTGCTGGCCATATTGGGAGGTGGGGTTGGAGAAGGGGAATTGCAGAGGGAATTGCTTCTCCTTTATCTGAATTCGTTTTATCCATTCTTCCACCACTTCTTGGAAACCAGTTATAATTTCAGCATTGTGCCAGTTTTACATTCCTGATCAGAAAGCAGCTTTTAAAACTTGGAGTTGACTTTCAAATACTGCTCATTATTTTTTACTTCAGTATGTGTCTTTAAGAACTAAGAAACTAAGAATGCTTCCCTACATGGCCAAAATAGCATTACTGTGCCTTAAAAATTATTAATTTCTTAATATCATCTAATACTCAGTCCATATTCAAATTTTTCCAACTTTCCCAATTGTCAGGAGATAGATGTTATCCAGTTGTTCCAACATTGGTGAGGCTGAGATTGAGCACTCTGTTTAGGGTGGTA